ATTTTACATTGAAAAATCTAAACAGACCTCTCGAGTCCCATCTCCACTGCCGTATTTACAAAAATGAAATTAGATGCCCAAGACTAACGCGACTGCAAATTTCGGTCATACTTGTGTCACCCCACCCATAGATCCAAAAATGCGTTCCCCATGTTTCATATTCTGACAAGGACTATCTATGCAATGCCTAATCCGGACGGGTTCGGGCTCCTTGTGCTCCCTTTCTCACATTCTATTTACACCCAAATGATGCAAAAAAATAATAAACAAGACAAAGCGACATACCCCATTTTCCGTTGATTCCATAGCTACGTTGTAGATGGAATTCCTGGGATATTCCGATGTTGAACCCAAAAAACGGCCATCTTCGATGTTCAAAGGAACCACGAAAAAAATGTCAAAAGACTCGAACGCGCCCCTGTGATTCGACGTCGGCTAACTCGGATAGGGAATGATCGTCGATCTGACTATCCGATCTTTTGCCTCTCCCAGAGAAAGCGCCGGGCGGCGGTTGTCACGCATTGGCCAAGGTGCAAGCCCCTCGCCAAGCGGAGAGCCCAGTGTGTTTTTTGCGCGATGTTGTTACGCTTTTCTGATGGCTGTGCCTTCTCTACAGGGGAGAAGGTTGACAGTAGGTACTTATTGCAAGAACAGCCGGGGCACGTGGACTACAACGAAACCCAAGGACGAGTTGAAATCAATGCTCGTGACAGACGTTTGAGAAAAGTCAGGGAGAACGAGGGTAGCTGAGATTCCCATACTTCCCATTCTGTTCAAATCAGATATTTCTGTTCTCGTCCTGAAGAGTGGAACAGATGGAGCCTTGTTTGCGGTCACTGTGTTAGGGTTTTCGCTTGGTCCTGCCTCGCCACACCCAAACTCAACCTTCAACCTCATCCTAAGCCAATAGTAGGGCCGACTCGTGCGTTTCATTAACGCCTATTCCGTTGAAATGCGCGTCGAGTTCTTGTAATGCACATTTCACGGCATGCCATTCCGTTGCATCGCATTTACGTCCGGAGGACCATCCCGTTTGGTACTTACCGTACTAACATAACTAACCATCAACATCGACGATGCGTCACTGCTTAATCGAAGATCCATCTGCTGTTTCATAGGCCGTTGATACTTGGTCTTTTCGATGCATATCATCTCACATCAGATTGGTAGAGTGGAGGAAACAAAAGTAATCGTCAGACCAGCACAGCGTGACACGCGAGCACCTCACTGCTGGTTGTGGGGAGATTGTCATCCATCGAAACCCTCACCTCCACACAAGGTGGATTCTTGTTCCTGGCCATCAATCAATTAAGCACTTCGCCACTTCCGCGTGCACGCCCTGTGGGACCCGTTCGAGGATTCCAGGCTGACGCGGAGTCGTTCGTTCGGTCGTCCAGACTCCAGAGACCCTGTTTCTCTATTCCTGCATTTGTTGTAGTTGTCGTCAGTGTTGTGGAGTTAGGAGCTCAGATTACGTGCATGCCATTGCATGGCAAACACACGTGTTTGTGTGGGTCGATTGCCATGTGACTTTTAGTGCATCGTCAAATCCCATCATTGATGTCATTCCAGGGGTGAAGATCCAAGGGGCTCAACCGGCGCTTGTACAACAATAAAAGGGCTTGCGTGCCCATCGTCAGCAAGAGGACATGAACTGGTTTCCAGTCTTCATCGAGATGTTCTGGGAATCAAACGATCTGCTGCAGCCGCGCGTTACATTGACGCAAAGGACGCGCGACAACAGCATCCTTCCATGTTCGATCGCGCTCGATCAGAACAGGCCATGAAGATTTTTAACCTCGTCACAAGTTGTCACCGTAGTACAGGTATTCGTCTCCTGCTGTGGTGGAGGGATGGATCCTACGCGTTTCGATAAACGTCAATATGACGTCATACATCCACAACTGGCTCCCGATGGATGAGATCGTTGATTGAATTACGCGTTTGCAGTCGGTCGGTCTTAATTTTTCGCAAGACGGAAAACGAATGAATGCCGGAGATGCTCTGCTTGGGATCGACATCTCGACAATCTTGCATGTTGGATGGAATGGGCTTTGATATCAGACCTGCGCCATTGGCTTCCATGGAAACGCGTGTATTCTCGCATCCTCCACCGCAATCTGCAATGCAAATATATCAACGTTTTAGCCTAGAGGGGGTTCAAGCATTTGTCAAAAAAGGTGTATAGCTAATCATAGAAACCGGGGGTCCTCCTCGTGCTGTTGCATCTGTCAACAACATTGAAGTTGTAACGCTATATTTCTGTACAGAGTGTACCAGCATCGGGTCATACCCCTGTAGTTGCGTTTTTCTAAGCAACGAATCATACTGTTGTACTATTAGAAGAGACGAAGATAGAGCGCATATGTAGATAACTGTGATTTGATACATACTACTGCGTATTCCAATGCGTATGACCCGATCTCTCACAGGACAGTGGAAGTTGCACTCAAGAAAAAAAGAGATAGCATTACCTAGCATACTATATAACCTCTAGATACTCGTAGTATTCTAAACTTTATAAAATATATCTCTAAAAATGTGTTATAAAGATTACAAGCTTCCTTATGTAGAGTATTAACAAATATCTGCCGTGTTCAAGTCCAACTCCCACTGTCTTCAGAGAGTCGATGCAGGTCCCTTCTGTATACCTGCAATGAGTCATTAGTTTCGCTAGAAGAGAGGCTACTTAAACGACCAATTATAGAATCCGGGGAGGAGATGCATAGCAAACTCCTGCCAACGTTTCCACCTACAGGGTGTTATTGCGTCGGGTCCTGCCCGTGTAGCTGCATCTGTCAAAAAATGGTCGTGTGTAACTAATCATACAGACCGGAGGAGGGAAAAAGAGTAAACTCCTGTTGATGCTAACGTTGTTGCATCTGTCAAAAAAACTCGTGGTCATATAACCAATTATGCAAAGCGGAGGAGAAAAAGGAAGTAAATTTCTGTTGGTGAATCGTTGGATGCATACGGAGTTTCAATTCCATGCATTTCATATGAAAATCCACTTGCCTATGGGTCCAGGGTGAGTGATTTGGAAAGCGGCGGCGATAAGATGCACAGAAGATCTTGAGATCCGATCCGATCATCGATATATCGGGGGGTCTAAGGATTTTTTAGCAAATGGTGTAAGTCCGCGATTTCTTGGTGACTGAAATCTCAAGTCTTCCCGACATGTAGCCTCCCTGAGTGCCAACCCCTGTATTATAAGGTAAACTACCTAGGTATGTTTCATAGAGATCTATTCAGGTGCTCTACCATAGGAACTTGTTAACAAGGTAACTAAAGGCCGTAATAGGTAGCTTTGGGCAGTCCTTATAAATATAGTGATAAACTAGAGGTATAAAGTAATTAAGGAAGGTGAAAAATGTAATAGATCAATAGCTAGAACACGTCTATTCAGCAACGAGCCACAGCATTGATGATAACTAAAACTCTCAAAACAAATTCGTGCAGCGGCCATAACCTCTCAAGACTAGTCCGTGCATCAAAGGCTCCTTCCACTTATTCTTCAACAGCAGTCAAAGCATCAAAATAAGCATTAGCCACGATTCGTGCAATTTGTTGCGGATCAAGTTCTGGACCCTAGACAAGCAATTAGCAGGTTGTCTTATTAGACTGTGGTGCAGAAAATTCAGATCTACTTACAAGCTATACAAGTAGTCAGACAAGTTCATTTAGCAAGTAGGGTCTATTTTGAACTCACTTGTCTGGCCTTAAGTGCTTCGAGTCGAGACATCTCTCCTCCCTGAGGAACCGGCAGCGCGTAGGTCAAAGATGGCTAGGCCATACCAAAGAGCGTAAAGGATTTCATTTTCAAAACGTAGACACGTGAAAGCGGTTGGGTAATACCGTTGTAGAGAGGAACAAGAAGCTGAATTAGCAGTTGTAAAATGAGAACGTCTACTTTTTGTACATCTTATGACCGACTTGACCTTTGATCTCGGCTCCGATTCAAATTTCCAGAATAATCTCAGCTTCTTCAATTTCTCTATTATTCGCAAATGTTACTGAACAAATTCCAGTAAACCGCTGCCAGGATAAGAATGGATGAACGAAGAGTCGTCTCTTCGCCTTGCACATCTGGGTTACGTTAACCTGCGCCCTCGTCCTTACTTGCAACCGGTATCCGGTATCCCCTTTTGATTCGATTCAAACAGTTTCTGTCAACAAAGGTACCAAGCTTTTTTATTAGACCAGTTTTTATTTTTTCATCATTTTTATATCTGTAGCCACTTGTTAGTAAATAGGCCAAACTAGCCCATATGAGGCCAACGCATGACAGTAAACAAAGTTAATAACCCAGGGAGAAGTAACTAGATAATGACTTGATAGTAATCTAAATATTTTTATATTACGAAGTGCTTCCGTAAGTGAATGCCACTATCCGACACCTACCCGATATGTGCCCCTCCCCCTCCCCTGTCCTTGCAATGTTCTTGAATTTTCCCTGCGTCGTGAGTTTTTTCGAACGAAACGGCTTCTTCCTTTAGCGGCGGGGAGCATGGTTCCGCGGACCGTTCTTGTCCATGCGATATTTTGGGTGGCGATGTAGTTTGGACACTTGGTCCGATGGACGTTTACTGAAATCTGTGTGAGGGAAATAAAAACCCGTTCTGGACTAGTTCGTGACGGTTTTAATGAATCCAAGTGGGGAACCCCTGCGAGGATATCGCCTCAATGTTGTAGTTATGAGAAATCAGCCAATGGGACGGGAGGTTTGAACAGAGCTGCCCTAAATTAGATGTTGCACTGGTCGAAGATGTACAGAGGTCGTGATGAAGCTGGAGATCCGGAGATGTCAGCTTTGAGGGGCACGTGGGACTGTTGGCGTTGTGGAGATGTGGGCCGGGGTTAGTGCTGTTTCGAAACAAGACTTGTTTGACAGAGACGAAGACTCATCGCTGATGGTTCGCTAGACGGATATTACGTTGCTATATAGTGATAATAATTGCAAGAAAGCCACGTGTTCTGCAATAACAGTTCAATTCACCTTCGCCCGTTTGGCTAAGTGGTATAGCGTCTCACTAGTATACTACTTATCAGTTCCAAGCTATGAGAAGATCACTGGTTCGATTCCAGTAATGGGCAGTTTATTTTTGCTCTGTTTCGTTTCATTTTGGTCTATTTATCTTCCAGACAGGTGGGAAAGAAACATGATTGAAAAGGTTTGGTGAGCAATCGTCAACGTGCGATACTTTTTGGCTCATTCTGGCTCCCGTTCCGCTCATACTCCTCAAAATAAGTCTTTTCTATGCTTTTCTTCTTCGCCTTTGCGTCCATCCTAAAGTATGTACAGGCACTACAATAGTTTGATCCACTTGGGGAGATAAAAGGGGGGCAGAGGGGGACCCACCTTTTTTGTTCCGAGTTTGAACATTAAAAGTCTAGGCCAGGGTTTCCAAACGTAGTCTCTTTGACACAGGGATCCAGACAAAGTAGTGTATCCTATAAGTCATCTGAATGCATGAGTGGAAGATATGAGTGATGTGTAGCGTTGAACGCATTCGCTAGGGACGAGCTGCTTCTCCGGTCCATTCTGGGTTCCGGCTAGCGCATGTAGTGTTTACCTATGGCGAGAATTATACAAAATGAACAAGAGACCGGCAGTGAGTAATCTAGAACGGCGTATACCGTAAGCAATGCCATCTATCACATACGGCGAGACCATGTATTAGAACCTTCAACTCAGACATTGCTATCCCTCCCAGAATGTTACTTACCATCGTAAAACTGCCAACCGAAAGTGATTTTACAATCAAAATGGTAAACGATAAGAGCAATTCTTCTAGTACACGATTTTTGGCCTGGTCATGTCGAAACCCCCTTTAATGCTACCAAATTATTTCTGATTATTCTAATCGTCAAGGGAGCTCTATGACATATAAGTGATTCTTACGGCTAGAATTACATGATGTATATGGTCCAATGAAATGATTTTTTTGCTGGCAGTCCCTAGAAGTGACCAGTTGACATCTGAGAGATCTGGAAGTGAGAAAGCTCCAAAGTGATATTGGAGAAATTTAGGTCAACTATCTGTGAAAAGAGCCTAATTGGAGCAATAATTTTCCTGCTTAGACCTTGTTACCCTCAAAATTAGAACAAAGGCAAGATTGATGTGAGAGGCAATCAATGAGAGTGACGCGGATCACGTGATTTTAGCTTAGTCATAAGAGCCTCGCGTCGAGCGCGTCACCTCACTACCACGCGCAACTCAACTTTTTTCCCACTGCAACTCCTCCACCGCATCTCCACCAGCCTGGTGTCGCATCAGTCCGCAGAATGTGAGTTTTGCTGGAGACCTAAATCCTGTATAAATTGCAAATGAGCGCGACTGACAAACCGACAGGGAAGCCTTCGAGAACATCTACCTCAACCTCTCAAAGCAGCCAGGCGTCACACGATTTGCAGAGTCTGGCTGGGGATGGAAGCCTTCTAAAGGTGGCGACGGAACATACACGCTCGACAAAACAAACATAATATCTGCGCAATGGAGTCGGGCAGCTCGGGGCTATGAAGTTAAAGTGCTTGCGCGCAACGATGGCATCGTTCAACTCGATGGCTTTAATCAAGAGGTACATTGGTCATTTGTGTCGCAAGACAACGACTGACATGAACAGGATTTTGATCGGATAGCCAAATCCTTCAAGATATGGTATGGTGTCAACTTGGAGAGCAGAGAACACGCCTTGCGCGGATGGAATTGGGGAAAGGCCGAATTTGGGAAAGCCGAACTTTCGTTCAATGTTTCGAACCGCCCAGCTTTCGAGGTGCCTTACACTGAAATTTCGAACACAAACTTGGCGGGAAAGAATGAGGTTGCCGTGGACTTCTCTCTTCCAGCCGATGCCGACGCAGGCACCAATGGAGCTCTCGGTGGAGCACAATTCCGAGGAAAAAAATCGGTTGGTGCAAAGGACCAGCTTGTCGAAATGCGATTCTACATACCTGGCATGACCTCCAAAAAAGAGAAGAAGGAAGACGGAGAGGAGTCCGGCGGAGAGGATGGAGAGGTTGAGGAACAAAATGCCGCCAATCTTTTCTATGAGACGCTTATGGAGAAAGCTGAAATCGGCGAGGTTGCGGGCGACACATATGCAACTTTCCTGGAGATTCTACATCTCACCCCTCGTGGTCGTTTCGACATCGACATGTACGAGAGCTCATTCCGTCTGCGAGGCAAGACGTACGATTACAAGATTCAGTTCGATGCCGTCAAAAAGTTCATGGTTCTACCGAAACCCGACGACATGCACACACTCATTGTCGTGGGTTTGGATCCTCCGCTGCGACAAGGTCAGACACGATACCCCTTCCTGGTTATGCAATTTAAGAGAGACGAGGAGGTCAATCTTGATCTGAATATGCAGGCGGATGTGCTCGAAGCCAAATACAAAGATAAATTGCAGCCGCACTACGAGGCACCTATTGCTGTTGTCGTGTCCGACATCTTCCGCGGACTGACTGGCAAACGCATCACCAGGCCTTCGCGTGATTTTGTTAGCCATCACGAGCAATCTGGGGTCAAGTGTTCAATCAAAGCTAACGAAGGCCACTTGTTCTGCTTGGACAAAGCCTTTGTATTCGTGCCTAAGCCAGCTACGTACATTAGCATGGAGAACGTTCAATCAGTTACCATGTCTCGCGTAGGAGGGGCCATGGCGGCAAGCCGGACGTTTGACATCACATTCACCATGAAAGGTGGAATGGCTGAACACCAGTTCTCGAATATCAACCGGTGAGTACCATGGCTAGTCGCTGTGCTGGCAAGGGCCCTGCATAACTAATGCACGCTACAGTGAGGAGCAACAACCCCTCGAGAATTTCTTTAGGGCCAAGGGGATCAAAACTAAGAACGAGATGGCTGATGATGTAAGTCACCGCTCTGATTTGGACGCAAACCATGCTAATCATGCATTAATTAGTCTGGCGCAATTCTCGCGGCCGCTCTCCAAGATGACGACCTTGCTTCTAGTGACGGTGAAGTCGCCAATCGAGGCTCCGCGGATGAAGATGACGAGAGTGTCGATGAAGATTTCCAAGCGGACTCTGAGTCTGAGGTTGGCGAGGAATATGACGAGAACCACCAGAGCAGCGATGATAGCGACGAGGAGATGGGAGATGCCGATAGTGGTGACGACGACGCCCCAGAGGAAGAAGAGCTAGCCGAACGGCCTAAGAAGAAGCTCAAAACGGCAAAGTGATGGGGTTGATTCGCACGTGTAAACGTGGCCAAGGTCGATCATGGCGTAGAGGCGGTGACGGGAGCATTCTTCCCAGTAAGATTTGAGTGTTCCAGAATACGTCGAAGTTTGGAATTTTCGATGCGTGGACGTTGATGCCGGTGAGGGCGCTTCACCAAGGCGAACAGAGGGCCAATGGAGTTTGTTCCGGCTTGAATCGACTGGTTTATACTTTGGCCGAAACCTGGGTTGGAAACATGGGCCTGGGCGATGTTCCGCGATAGGCGGCATCGGATAGGGTGTAGAAATGCAGTCCAGCACCGGGCTGGAATAGTGGCAAATGCTAGCGGTCATATTCCGGAGAGAACACACGTGCATGGAGTTTGCTAATGCTTTGGTGATGTGCTGCGTGGCGTCGGCCGTGAGTCGGACATTGCGCTCGAGCGGGACCGGTGTGCGGGTACCAGCTAGCCATTTTAGCTGGCGGTCGTCTTCCAAGGTTTGGCAAGGGAGGCTGGTCGGTAGCTTCACGCTTTACCCAGATCGAGCAGCGCGCCTGCGACTCAGGACTACGCAGCTTGAAGAGAAACCTGAGCAAATAAACACTCTCGCCAGTCTTCGCCGAGTGGCAGCTAGGATGGAGGGTGGATCCATTGATCCGCTTGGCGCGAACCATCGTAGACCCCGCATTCAATTGCTCCTAACGACGCGGCAACCACCATAGCTATCTACATATAAGCTTCTGCCGCCGATGCGGGCGTGGCCACCTCTCAGGACTGCTCACTGGTATCAGGTATCAATTGGAGTTGACTTGATTCAAGCTCCCTCTCGCCATAGTACCACCAACACGCCACCATGGTGCGCTCCAGAACAGGATGGTAAGTGCTGATTCCTGTACTGAATCCTCCAATTGACTGACATCAATAACAAACAGTTTGACGTGTCGCCACCGGAAATTGAAGTGCGACGAAAAAAAGCCCGTTTGTAGCCAGTGTTGTAAAGCTTCAAGGGAATGTGTGCCTAGCTCTGGCATCGTCTTCCGACATCAACACAATGCTTCTATGAATGGAGACGATTCTGGTGATGAGAACACGCTCAAGGGCTTCTATGCCTACAAGAACACTTTTGACGATGACGCCGTCTGGATGGACATCCCAAAACAAGGTGGGACCTCATTCACTCACTGCCCATTACCCCCCTCTCCAGCTTTCTTTCCTAACTGTGCATTCCAGTTACCTTCATCAACACCACCAATCCCTATCTTGATCCATTCACCTCCGACTTTGACAATCTCTCCACTACATCGGGAGACTCACCCGTCCCCTTCGATGTGCGATCGTCTGTTACGTCTTGGCCGTCTTCCTCCCACAACCATACAGTCACCAGTACACCTTCCAGTACCGGTCCGGATCTATACAATATGACTGCACCCATGTGCTACACACCGGAAATCGATGCACTACCACCACTGGATCGTACTTCTCTGAACTCACCCCCGACATCCTCAGCAGGAACACCCATGTCACCGCCCGTCTCACTAGCAAATTCTCATCTACACTCCATGTTGGGCCACCAACTCTCAATGACGCCTCCGCCCATTGATCCACGCCTCGGCTCACCCTTCGATCCCACCGAGATACCCAGGTCGAATACATACACAAATTCCCGAAGAACACCATCGTTTGTTGGGAGTGATCTGATGACGGAGCGAGATCACGAGATTGCATTCCTTCTCCGGTATTTCTCCGAAGGCCCTGGCTACTGGATGGATCTTTTCGATCTCGGAACTTACTTCTCATCCTATGTACCTGCTAGAGCTCGAGAGAATCCGCTACTGAAATATGCTGCCGTAGCTTACGCTGCAAAGGCTCTTGCGCGAGTGCAAGGTCGCAAGCCGATCGTGGGAGG